AGGATCGCTTGAGCCCAGGAGTTGGAGGTTGCTGTGAGCTAGGCTGACGCCACGGCACTCTAGCCCGGGCAAAAGAGTGAGACTCTGTCTCAAAAAAAAAAAAAAAATTACCATCTTAACCGTTTTTAAGTGTGGACTTCAGTGGCATTAAGTGCATTCACACTGTTGTGCAGCCATTACCACCGTCTGTCTCCAGAACTCTTTTCATCTTGCAGAACTGAATCTAACTTCCTGTTCTCCTTCCCCTCAATGCCTGGCACCCACCATTCTATTTTCTGTCTCTACAAATTTGACTACTCCAGGGAACTCATAAAAGTGGAATCATACAATATTTGTCTTTTTGTGACTAGCGTATTTCACTTAGTATAATGTCCTCAAGGTTCATCCGTGTTGTACCATATGTCTGAATTTACTTTCTTTTTAAGGCTGAATAATATTCCATTGTGTGGATGGACCACATTTTGTTTATCCATTCATTTTGCTGATGGACACTTGGGTTATTTCTACCTTTTGGCTATTATGAATAATGCTGCTATGAACGTGGGTGCACAAATATCTCTTTGAGACTCTGCTTTCAATTCTTTTGGGTATACATCCAGAAGTGGAACTACTGGATCATATGGTAATTCTATGTTTAATTTTTTTTTTTGAGATGGGGCGTCTCATATATTGCCCAGGCTGGTCTCGAACTCCTAGACTCAAGCTATCCTCCCTCCTTAGCCTCCCAAGTAGCTGGAACTACAGGCATACACCACTGCACCCAGCAATTCTATATTTAATGTTTTGAGGAACCTCCAAACTGTTTTCCACAGCAGCTCCAGCATTTTACGTTCCCACCAATAGTGCACAAGGGTTCCAATTTTTTGTATCCTTGCCAACACTTGCTATTTCCTGATTTTTTGACAGTGGCCATCTTAATGGTTGTGAGATAATATCTTGCTGTAGTTTCGATTTGTATTTCCCTAATGACTAATGACCTTGAACATCTTTTGTTTAGTGGCCATTTGTATGTCTTCTTTGGAGAAATGTTTATTCAAGTCACATGCTCTGGTGTTAACTTGTTTTTTGACATTTTGTTGCATCGTAACATATGCTCAGTTAAGTCCACAAATCTGAGCTCAGCGAGGGTTGGCCAACAGGCACCTTTGTTTTTCGTGGCAGTTTAGGCCAAATCAAAGCCCTATGGGCTGATGGTTTGTGTGGAACCATGCTAATCGGGCTGGGTGCAAGTGATTTCATAAGCTCCAGGCATGCAGATTCATCTTTGGCTCATGCCAAGCATGTCCTGAGATCGTGTAAGTGAATGGCAGCAAAACTGGTCTGCCCTGTTCAAATTGTTTTCTCTCTTTATTTTTTTCCCCTACAGCTTAGAGTTGAATTTAGGTAAATCAGCTCTGTGTATAGTATAGTTTCATTCGCCGGGTGCTCAGAAAATATTTGTGAAGTGAATGAGAGAGACAAAAAGGAGACATCCAGGATGAGCAGGTCTGGTAAAGGTGGCTTTTCTTTCCCTGGTTTTGACGGTTAATTTTGGCTGTATAACAAACAACTTAAAACAATGGCCGTTTTGTTTCCTATGATTCTGCCTGGTTGACTGGGCTCAGCTGAATGGTTCTTCTGTTGGTCTCACTTGGGGCTTCTTGATAGCAGTTAGGGCTGGAATGTTTCATATGTCTGCACTCGTGTATGCAGCTCCTTGGCAAGGACTCTGAGACAGCTGGGTCTCTCTCTCTCTCTCTCTCTGTGGCCTCTGAAGTTCAAGGCTCCTAAAAGCACAGCTGTGGAAGTTGCAAGGGATGGAACTGGCCATCCCACATCACTTCCACCACAGGCCCAGATCCCAGGGGAGGGAAGCCCACAAGGGTGCACATGCTGTCATCAAAGCCCTGGGCTGAGCTGACACCGAGGTTTCTGTTATGTCTCCCAGGCCTTGGATGACCTTCAAGAGTCCGTGGCCTGCCCTCGCCCCCAGGAGGTATTGGCACATCTCATCCGCTTCTGCGACCAATGCAAGCACGACAAGGCCTGCCGCTTCCTGGCGGCCCAGAAGGGCGCCTACCCCATCATCCTCTCTGCTTGGAAGCTTGCTGCAGTGGGTGACCAGGGCCTCCTGCTCCAGGCCCTCAATGCCCTGTCAGCACTAACTGATGGCCAGCCAGACCTCCTGGACACCCAGGGCCTGCAGTTGCTGGTAGCCACACTGGCCCAGAATGCCAATGCAGCTGATCTGACCTGCTCTGGGATCCGCTGCGTGCGTCACGCCTGCCTGAAACATGAACAGAATCGGCAAGGCCTGGTGAAGGCCGGTGTGCTGCCCCTGCTGACTGGCGCCATCACCCAGCATGGCCGCCACGCCGATGTAGTCAAGGAGGCCTGCTGGGCCTTGCGCATCATGACCTTTGATGATGACATCCGTGTGCCCTTCGGCCATGCCCACGACCATGCCAAGATGATTGTGCAGGAGAACAGAGGCTTGAAGGTGCTCATTGAGGCCGCTAAAGGTAGGAGCTGGGGGCCAACATGAGCCCATGAAAGTAAAATAGGCAGACAAGCTGTGGCAAGAGTGAGAGTTGGGGCCTAGGACTGCTTCCGGTATGGCTGGCTCCAGGCTCCACTTACAGTCCCACTTACGTAGCAGCCCTATTGGAAAAGTGTCTTCATGCTCCCCACTGGCTCCTGGAGAATTCCAGGCCAGTATTCATTGGCCAGGAACAGGTCCCATTCCTATCCCTGGAGCTGTTTGGGGAGGGTTCTCATTGTGTCCAACCACACAGAGGGGCAGGGGGACCTCCCCAAAGGGAAATAAGAGGAATGGGGGAGTTTGGCTGGCATTCACCAAAGCAATCTTCGATGGAGGTTTACACTTTTGATCACATTCAGCTACAAATTCTTGTGCACATCCATGTGCCTAGCTCTAGGATAACCACCGTTAGCCATCCAAGGGAGGTCACACCCTGACCCCTGGACCTTAAAGCCTCTGTCCCCACATCCATTATACCCCATCCATCACACCCACCAGAAAAGGCCTGCCTGAGCTCCAGCACACAGAAGGTGCTAGAATAGTGAGTTCCCCTTCCCTGCCTGCCCTGTGGCTCTTGCTCCATGGCCAGGCCTGTGTGTGAGATGCCAGCTCTGTCTGCCAGGGAGGTGGGCTGCCTCAGTCTCTCTTCCACACCTCCAGAGAAGCTGGAAATGGGGCCCAACCATCTTCAAAATCGGGCTGCTTTTCCGGGAGGCAGTTTGCATCTTTCCTGTTTATTTATAGGAGCTCCAAGAGCTAGGGTTTCGCTAGAGAAACAGGATATATATATACGAAGGGACTTTTTGTTTTGTTGTTGGTTTTTTTTGAAGAGACAGGGTCTCACTCTGTCACCCAGGCTGGAGTGCAGTGGCATGATCATAGCTCACTCTGACCCCAAATTCCCACGCTTGAACGATCCTCCCACCTTAGCCTCCCAAGTAGCTAGGACTACAGGCCTGTTACCACCACACCCAACTAATTTTTTTTTTTTGAGACAAAGTCTCGCTTTGTTGTCCAGGCTAGAGTGCCATGGCATCAGCCTATCTCACAGCAACCTCAAACTCCTGGGCTCAAGCGATCCTCCTGCCTCAGCCTCCCGAGTAGCTGGGACTACAGGCATGTGCCACCATGCCCAGCTAATTTTTTCTATATATATATTTTTTCAGTTGTCCAGATCATTTCTTTCTATTTTTTAGTAGAGACGGGGTCTCGCTCTTGCTCAGGCTGGTCTCAAACTCCTGACCTTGAGTGACCCACCCGCCTCGGCCTCCCAGGGTGCTAGGATTATAGGCGTGAGCCACCGTGTCCGGCCCCAACTAATTTTTTTATGTTTTGGAGAGACGAAGTCTCACTATGTTGCCCAGGCTGGTCTGTAACTCCTGACCTCAAGCGATCCTCCCTCCTTGGGCTCCCAAAGTGCTGGGATTACAGGTGTGAGCCACTGCACCCAGCCTCGAAGGGATTTTTTTGTAAGGAATAGGCTCATGTGGTTGTGGGTGGGCGAGTCTACAATGGATAGGGCAGCCCCAGGTGGAGTTTCTTCCTCAGGGAAACCTCTGTTTCCTGCTAAGCCTTCAGCTGATTGAGTGAGGTCCCTCCACATTGTTTAGGGTCATCTCTTTTACTGAAAGACAACTGGCTGTGGACACACAGACAGAACACCTCCCTGGCAGCACCCAGATGAGCACTGGGTGGCATTGCTGAAGGCCGCAGCCCAGCCAAGTGGACGCACGAACTGACCATCACGGGGCTCTGTATAAATTACGGATGTTTGCTTAGTTGGCTTCAGCGCAGGCATCTACTTCCTGGCACAGTGCCTCTAAGCTCCGTCTGTTACTCCTGTATTCAGTTTTGCCCATGTCAACCCAGTCCGTATGTTTCAGAGTTTCCTATTGCACTTAGAAAAGCCATTCCTACCCCAGGATCATAAAAATAGTCTCGATGTTTTATTTTGGTGCTATTATGGTTTTCTTTTTTTAGGTGCAACCATCAGTTGGTCTGGAATTTATTTGGGGCATGATGGAGGAGGGAGGGCACATTGTCCAGTCTTCCCCAGCAGCCAGCAGGGGGTACCGCAGGCCCAGGCAGTGCTCCCTGGTGTTCCCAGCGGCCTTCCTGGTGCAGGGGCAGAGGGCTGGACTCCCCCAGTGCAGCAGGATCCACATGAAACCCAAGGGTGCTGGGCTGGGGCTGTCCACTCTCCCCGCTCCCCCTCACCCCTGGCTGTGCACTTCCTCCCGCCCGCAGCCTTCCCTGACAACCCCGGCGTCCTCAGTGAGCTCTGCAGCACCCTGTCCCGCCTAGCTGTCCGCAACGAGTTCTGCCAGGAGATTGTCGACCTCGGGGGCCTGAGCGTCCTGGTGACCCTGCTGGCCAACTGCAATGACCACCAGGTGGGGCCCAGAGCCGTCTTTGGGTGGAAAGCCCCCTGGCCCTGTGCACTCTGCCCCGCTGGGTCCTGGCCAGCAGGCCAAGCTGTAGTCAGAACAAGCCGGCCCTGTCTGCCAAGCCCAGAACCAAAGTACAGTCTTGTCACTGACCTGTTGACAGGAACCAAAGCTGGGAGGAAAATAAACCCACTCACCCTGCCGTAGTATCCTTTTGTACCAGGAGTGGGAGGAACAGGGCTGGGGGTGTCGGCCAGCACTGGGCCCTGTCCCTGGCACATAATGCATGGGTGAGACCCCACCCTACCCTGCCTCAGTTTCCCCATCTGCAGAACAGGGTGAGGTCCTCTACTTGTCTCCTTCATTTAGCAGCCACTTATCAACCCCTTCTCCATGCACTCTGCTCAGGGCAGATAGCAAACCAACACATACCTGCTCAGGTGTGACTGCAGGAAAGGCCCCTGGGGGCACCATGGTCTTCTGCCCCCAAGCCCAGCCATGGACACCAGCCAGAGCCTGTGCAGGTGGCAGGGAGCTGAATTTGAACTGGCTTCAGCAAATGGGGGGATGATTTTGCTTGCAGTCCTGGACAGTTGGGGGTGTGGGCCTCAGTTTCCCTCCCTGTCTCTGCTCTGCCCCCCACTGGGGCGGTCAGCAGTTCCAGCAGCATCTCGTTGGCTGTCCCCAGCTCAGGTTGGTCAGTGCCACCCTCAGCCTGCAGCCGTAGCCAGGGGCCCCTATGCACTGATGCTGGCCTGAGTCACATGTCCCCTCTGTCCCTACAGGAGATGGGGGTCAGATCGCCCAAATGGCACATTGTAGACAAAGGTGGCCTGAACCACAGGCGTCTACCTCTCTTTCCTTCTCTGCGCAATGGGCAGCAACCCTGCAGTCACGCCTCACCTGTGGGTCAGACAGCACAGCAGCCCCAGACCCCTCCTCTGACCCCCACCACAGTCCAGCAACCAAGTGGCCTGTGCCCAGCACAGCACAGGAAAGGAACGCTGGCTGGGGGTGACCATGCTCTGCCTTCGTGCAGGACCTCGTGAAGCAAGTGCTGAGCGCCCTGCGTGCCATCGCAGGCAACGATGACGTGAAGGATGCTATCGTCCGTGCTGGCGGGACAGAGTCCATCGTGGCCACTATGACCCAGCACCTGGCCAGCCCCCAGGTACCCACCTTAGGGGCCACAAAGGGTGGAGGATGGCTGGAGTCCAGGCTCAGTTTACATATCTGCGTGAAGCTCTCTCCTCAGGGCCAGGAGGTGGGCAAGGTGCCCTGCGCTGGCTCTCAGATGCTGACCCTGTGTGTGCATGACCCTGGTGTCCGGGAGTTATCACCAACACCCAGCAAAGGTCTGACTAGGGCCAGTGCCCTCAGCACCCCTAAGAGCTCGGTCAATGTTTTTGTCTCCCAGCTGTCATGCTGTTATTACACATGAGCTGACAGAGACCCACTGACGGGAGGTGACAGGGTACTCACCAGGGGATGGTGGCCACAGCAGGCTGACAGGATGTGGGGTCTGTCTACTACAACTCAGCTGTCCCGTGACCAACCCCTGCAGGTGTGTGAGCAGAGCTGTGCAGCCCTGTGCGTCCTGGCCCTGCGCAAGCCAGAGAACAGCCGGGTGATCATGGAGGGCGGCGGGGCCCTGGCAGCCCTGCGGGCCATGAAGGCGCACCCACAGGAGGCCGGTGTGCAGGTGCGCAGGGGATGGATGGGGGGCAGGTAGGCAAGGGGAGGCATGTTAGCAGGTGGGGCATGCAGGCAGGGGGCAGGGCACAGCCTCTCCCTGTCCCTGTCCCTGTCTGAGCCTCGTGGGGCCTCCTTCCTTCCCATCTTCTAAACTGTGCTGAATGCTGCCTGGCGCTGTCCCCTTTCCTGTTCTTCTGCTCTTTCTGAGTTTAATCTTCTCCTTTCTTAACCATCCTACCTCCTCGGGCTGCTAGTCTGAGCTCTGGGCATGGGATGTGCCATCCTTACCTCAATGGCTGTGTGTGCCCTCCCCAAGCCCAGACTCTGCCCTGCCTCCCCCTGTCCCAGTACAGGGTCCTTAGACACACCAAGCTCGGACCCCCAGGAGCCTTTGCTCTTGCTTCTCCCTACTCTGCAACACCATCCCCTTGCCTGGCCCGTCACCTTGTGTGCTCCTGAGCACCCTGGCCAGCAGCTCCTCACTCCACACCCGCTTCTCATCTGCTCTCCACTGGTGGTGGGAGCCATGTGGGACGCTTTAAGGCAGCATCCTGCACCCACCCCCGACAGAGGCGCAGGGCACAGATGTCCACCAAACTAGTAACCTGTTGACAAATGGACCCTGTGCACAACCACCTTCTTCCCATGGCCTGGCTGTCCCCCTCCCCTAGCTCTGAGCCAGCCTTGGAGGACCTAGGGTTGCCACTTGCCAACTTGGAGGCTGAGAGTTCCACACCCATGAAATCAGTCCCAGATGCTTTCCCCCATGCCTGTTTCCTCGCCTGGGAGATAAGGGCTTTGGCTCTGCCTCCCAGGGCTGCAGAGAGGGTAAAATAGGGAGATGGGTCTAGACTGGCACAGCATAGGCACCGCTGAATGCCAGCCACAGCCATCCTCATCCTCATCTTGTTATGATAAGGACCCTGAGGTCAGAGTAGACCCCAGGCCCTACCTGCTAGCTCACAGCTGCTCTTTCTTCCAGAAACAGGCCTGCATGCTGATCCGCAACCTGGTGGCTCGCAGCCAGGCCTTCTCGCAGCCCATTCTGGAGCTGGGGGCTGAGGCTCTCATCACCCAGGCTCGAGCAGCCCACCGTGACTGTGAGGACGTAGCCAAGGCCGCCCTGCGGGACCTGGGCTGCCGTGTCGAGCTCCGAGAGCTGTGGACAGGCCAGAAGGGTGACCTGGCACCGTGACCCCAGGCCCAGCTGGGCCATGACTCTGGGTGAGTCGTATGACTCAGTGGGGAGGTCCATATTCTGCTGCTCTCCCCCGCCAGGTCTGTCCCCACCACAGCAAGAGATGTTTTCTGACAGGCCCTAGGTAAACGCCGGGGGGAGGGGAGATTCAGGAGCGGGTATCTATAAGGCAGAAAGCAACCCCTGGGCCCTGGCCTCCCCTGGGTCCAGGCCTCCCCTTGCCAGCCGGCAGCATTGACATGATTGTACTGCCCTTCCTCCCTGACCTGAGTCCCTTTCCTGCCACAAGGGGTGAAGGGCATACCCCATTGCCCACTGTCCTATCTGAAATTTGGGAGCCACTGTGGGCCAGTCTTGGAGCAGGGCAGGACATCTTGGCAGAGTTGGGATCCCTGGTGCCTGCTCCTACAAGTTCAGGCCTCTGCTCCTCATTTTTCTCACCTGTAAAATGGGTCTCAGATGCCTTGCTTAGCCGGCCAAGGGCCAGGGACCTCGGCTCGTCCATCTCCAGGTCCCAGGCCAGCCATGGTGCCTGACAATAAAAGATCATTGGATGAACGTTGGAGGGGTCTCTTCTGTAGCTTGGCTGGACGTCAGCGGTTGCGGCCAGTGGCCTTAGAGGACAGGGAGGGGCGGACATATGGGGAGGCAGGTCGCTGAGGACAGGAAAGGGGTTATATGATTGTATAGCTGGGATACGTGATCTGCTGTCACCTTCAGAGAAGCACGCTGCTGAGGCCACGCTTGGGGTCGCTGTTTCCGAGAGTGCATCCATCTTTGGGGGGCCAGAGAGCTCAGCATCCAATCCCCAATCAGCTCTGTGGCCTTGAGCAAGTGACTTAAGCTCTCTGAGCCTCAGTCTGATCCTTCTAAAATGGGGAGTGGGGCAGTGATGATCCCTCTCTGAGAGGTGATGGAGCAGGGCTGGGCACAGGAGGGACATCTGATTGTCTGGCACCCGCCCCCCGTCTGAACCTTATTTTCCCATCTGTAGGATGCATATCACCATCGCTATCCTCATGCCCACCACACCCCCCAAGTGTTCTGGGGGTCCCCAAGCAGCTGTGGCACTACAGACCCCAGCTCTCCTGCTCTGAAGTCATACTCAGAGGTCACACCACGGTCACCAGGTGGCTTGTGCCCCTTGTGTGGCCCGATTTGGTGGGGTAAGGGCAGCCTCAGGACCCCTGGTAGTGCACGAACATCAAGGGCCTCTCCTCTCTCCGACCCCCTCTCACCACTTGTCGCATGCCTCCCTGAAGCTCAGGACAGCCTGAGCTCAGTCCTTGACCTTGGCGAAAGCTCTTTCTCAGAAGGCTCCTTGTTTCTGTGGCAATTGGCTGATACAAATAGCTGGGCTGTAGGGGGGACATCACCTTGGTGTCACCTTCCTGTAGTGTCCCCATCTCCCCCACCCCCAGCGGGGATGGGTCTGCCAGCTCAGCAAGGCCAACATGAATCTGTGACCCAGTCACTGGGGACTCCCCAGGATGTGGGAGAAGGATCTGGAGCCTGCCCCAGACTGCCCTGGCTTGACTTATGGGTCAGCCACATGTGTGTGACCTTGGGCAGCCCCTGACCTCAGGCATGTGTTCCTCTGTCACGTGGCAGAGTGGGTACTACTGGCAGCCCTGTTGTTCCTGCCCCAGCCTTGCTCTCGATCTGCCCATAGCTCCCCATTGCTCGCCACGTAAAACCAAACCACACTTCACGCCCCATGGGCCCAGCATGGCCAGGCCTCTGCCCACCTCCCACCCTCATCTTCCTGACTGCCCCTCACTTGCCGTTCTAGCCACGCTGGCCTCCCCACCCCGGCACCTTTAGACAAGTGCCCCCTCCGCCTGGAGCACCCATTCCTTGGCCCTCCCATGGCTGGCTCCTCCCAGTGCCAGGTTTCAGCTCACACGGCCTCCTCAGGGAGACACCCAGCACGTCACCCGATGGCTGTCTCTGACCTCTGGCTCCATCTGGGGTCACCTCGTTTGTGTCCTCTGCTGTTTGTCTTGCCCTCACCATATGCAGGCTCTCTGCGGGCAGCTTTCTGTGCCCTTGCTGTGCTCTGGCTTCCCGGAAATAGTTGGATGCACACCTGAATAAACTGAGCCGCACACTGGGTGTTTGGAGGCGCGGCCTCTGCCAGCTGGCCCCAGTGTCCTCCCCGGGCTCCCAGCCAGCTGCAGGCTTCTTCGGGAAGGAGTAGCTTGACTTTATCTGTCCTTCCCACCTTAGCCTGGGGAAATGGGTGTTCTCAGAGGGTGCAGCTCAGAGTGTTTGGACAGCCCCAGGCTGGGTGGGGCCCCACACCCGGCTGAAGACCCCACATTTCCCTGGGGTTTGTGGCCTGGGTTTCCATTCCTGCTCAACCACCTTGGCATGTGACCTCCCCTTTGTGAGCTTGGCTTCCTCATCTGAACCCAGGTTGGGTCTGTCACTGTGCAGGGCCACAGCCCCCAACTAAGCCCGGCTCAAGAGATGCCCAGCACATGGCACCCGCTCCTCTGACAAGCAACCTTTCCTCTAAGGAGCACTCAGTGTCCTTGTTAATGATATCAGGATAGGGGCCGAGGGGGAAACCACTGCAAGGTGGCATGAGCACATTCAGGCTGTGCCTCTGCTGCTGTGCACTCTTAGTTAAGTGGCCTGACTTCTCTGGCCTTGGGAGGTGAATGAGACCACTTTGACCCCAGACATCCCCCTCCAGCCAGACATGGTCTCAGGCTCCTGGGGAAGGAATACAGTTGCCGTGTCTTTTTGAACACACATGTCTGAGGCTGGGTTATGATTCCCGTTTTCCAGATGAGAAATAGACGTGCCTGCATTTGTGCGGCTGCAGGGGTGAGATGCCAGTTCAGCCGGCCTCCACACCCCTCCTCTTTGGCCAACGTTGTTAACCTGACCTTGGACAAATGGCTTTCTGGCCTTGGATGATTAGGCCCTGACACTGTGTCAGGGTCTGGCTCACAGCCTTCTTGTCAAAAGATTCCTGGAATCCCGAGAGGTAGAGGAAACCAGAGGGCAGAGAGGCAGAGTCCTGCCCAGGGCCAGCCCGGCCGAAACAGAACTGGGATCCCGGGCACCCTAGCTGGGCTCAGACGAGGCACACATGGTGGGTGTGTCATTTGCTGTTGCCAAGGGGTATTGCCTGCCGTTGCTGGAAGGCGGTTGGGAGGTTGGCTGGTGCCAGCCTGCTAAAAAATGAACAAAAGCCAGAACCCAGCCAGCACCTCTGGCACCATCGAGAGAGGCAGCCTAGTGCTGGGCCACTGCCCGACCCTTGCCTCAGTTGGCACTGTCCCCAGGGGCACAGCGGGGCTTTCCAAGAGCTTTATTACCTCCATCCCATGGCCTGGCAGGTGGCCACTGGGAGTGGGGGCTCCTCCAGCATAGATACCTCTCTCTTGGTGTGGCAACCCATGCCCATAGTTAGTCTATGTCCATGAAGTGTTATTTACAGAGAGGAAACAGGCCCAGAGAAGAACAATATGTCACCAACATCCAGCAAGTGCTTACTGTGGACTAAGCCATTGTAAGTATTTTGCTTTCTTTTCTTCAGTGCTCCCATCAACTCTGGGAAACAGCTGGGAAACTGAGGCAGGGAGTCTGAGTCCCTTGCTGAAGGTCCTGTGGCCAGTAAGTAAAAAGGAGCAGGGATTTGAACCCAGCCCTGGGTCATTTCACCAAAAGACACTCTCCACGAGAAGCTTAGTTTTCTCATCTGCTAAGTGGGCACTGTCACCTCCACCTGGAAGTGAGGTCATGAGATAGGGTCGGGGAAAGGCCCAGCCCAGCACGGACCAGGAACCCAGTGTTTAACGGACGTAAGCTTCCTCCTCTTCTCTGGAGGTCAAAATGAGGCCGGGTCCTGGGGATTGCAGGAAAGCAAACCACAGGTGGGAGGTATATGAGAGGAGGTCCAGGTGGGAATATCAAGAGTCCAACAGTGGCCTCGGACTAGTGACTCCGACGTGAGTCAAGTCCTCGCAATTTGTAATGTTGTGGATCAAGCACTTAGCAGGGGGCTTCCTCAGCCCTGAAACGTGAGCCCTTACTAAGACCTGTCTCAGCCTTTCTCCCTCCCAGAATTCCCTGGTTCTGAACTTGATCTCCACCAACCCTAGCCTGCACCTAGAGGAAATAAGAGGTGATACATGGGAACGTCTGTAACCCTCTTGGCCCTGAAAATTAAGGGTGAGTCAGAGAACAGGGTGGGCTCAGGGGAAGGGCCAATGACTCAGCCACCCACAGGACAGCAGGTGTCTCCCTAAACTGCTGGCGTGTCTGCAAAGCAACCTCCTGATCTGCACTTCACAAAGAAGCTGAGGCTCAAAGGCCGAATGTGACCTACTAAGGGTCAAATGCCTTCCAAGAAGATTAAAGCATAGCTGGGATGTAAATTCTTCCAGGGGAGCAGCCCTAGAGAGGAAAGATCAAGGTTAAGGTACAGAAATAATTTTTTCCACTTTCCAAGTGAGGAGGTCGAGGCCTCACAAGCGCTTTGCCCAAGGTTGTGTGGTGGGCCAATGACTGGACAAAGATTCAAACCCAGGTCACTCAAGCCTCCAGTGGCTGTTCTTTGACACTCCCTTCCCAAAATGCAGGCTGCTTCTAGATTCATGTGCTGATTTAGCAAGTGAAGTGCTGTGTAACCTTGGGCAAGGAGCTTGACTTCCCTGTGCTCTGGTTTCTGTAAAAGAGGGCCAATGGCCCCTTCGACCTCATAGGATTGGGTTGTTAATTCACAAAAGGTTTAGCAGGAAGGAGGCCCAACAGGGATGTCACTGGATTCCGCGGTGGAGAAAGCTGAGACTCAAGAGAAGTCAGACACTCAGAATATCACACAGTGCGTTTGAGTAGGATTCTATTTCTTATATTCCACATCTTCACAGCACCCCGAGATGCAGAGGGAAGCCGTGAGAGTGACCTCCAGCGAGTCTCTACCCTCTACGTATCGTTTGCAGGGGATTTGCAGGGAGTAAGGCGATGGAGAATTATCCTCGAGTCCTTCAGCCGCTGTGGTCCAAGTTCACAGCCGCTTCTGCCCTGAGTTGCCAGAGGGCAGACTTCGCCAGAGGCCTCAAGGAACCCTGCGCGCCGGGCCTCCGAGGCCACCTCCAGCCGCGGTGCTCCAGGCCAAACTGCACCTTGCACGTTCCAGCCCTCCCCGTGGGCGCACCGCCCACAGCCGTTGCGACTGGTCCTGGGGCCTGTCCGTCTTCAGCTTCGCAGCCAATCTCCGTCGCCCTTCAGGATACGCCCTCCGATCCTCTCGACTCCATCCCGCCAGCCGCGCTAGCTTCCTCGTAGCCCCGCCCTTTCTCCCCAGCAATTGGCCAGCAGATCTGCCCGTTTTCTGCTGAGGCTCCAATCTTCGCCTGCCTCTAGGCTCTCGCCTCCCAGCACCTAGCACTCCTCTGGACCACGGGGGTACGGAGGGCCCCCTCCCAGTAGCCCCGCCTCTGCCCGTTAGCGATTGGTTTTAGGGGATGACCGTCTGCTTAATGCGCTCCAATCACTGAAGCCTTCACCGCTGATTGGTCAGGGAGCAGCCAATCGGGGCGTGGCGTGGACCTCTCCCGTGGCGCGCGCTGGGGGTGCGCGAGGCGGGGCCGTGGCGTCTGGAGGTGGCGGCGGCGGCAGCGGCGACGCGTCCGGGCCGGTGAGGGGGCGCGCGGGGTGCGGGGCGGCGCAGGCGTCGAGGGCCCGTGCTCGTCGGGCCGAAGTGAGGCGGGGCATGGGTCCTGTCATGGGCCCCGGGGGTGGGGGCGGACGAGGCGGGGCGTGACAGCAGGGTCGCGAGGGCAGGGAGAGGTTAAAGACCCCCATGACCCCCACACTCCACGTCTGGTGCCCTCGGGGGCTCTCACAGCCAAATCTGAGCCTCCTCACCCACAGTCCACGCACACCTGACACCATGTCTCTTCTCGTTGACATCCCAGCCATACACCCGAGACTTCTTGCTGATATTCCCCACACCCCCAGGGCCGTGTCCCCCCGCGCCCCGCACAGTCGGGTCTGACATCCTCCTCACACACCTGACACCACGCCCCCACTCATGGACACCCCCTACATCACCTGGGTTTGTCCCTGTCGAAGACATCCCCTCCCACTGTGGGGCCTACACCCCCACACACACCCCAGCCCATGACTTCTCACTCAGGGCCCCCGAGTCTCACCTGGAGGTGTTCTAGCCTCTCACAACCTTGCACATATCCAGCTTTGTGCCCCCCGCACTTCAGCAACGTGGGTCAGTTCCATCAAGTACTTCCCCTCTGCCACCTGCCGTATGCTTCGGGCAGCCCGCACCTTTCTCTCTCCCACCTGTGCTTTCTCACACGTGCAGCTGTGTGGTGCTCCCTGTGTGACAGTCCTTCCGAATCCCCCCGGGTCCTTCGACATTCACCCAAGCCTTGGTACCTCAGGATCACTGCAGCTTCCCCTCCCCAAACAAAAGGCCACCCAAGTGTTCTCTTTTAATTTCTAACAATGCTTGACAGTATACATTGATTTCTGGACCTTAGAATAATCTCGTCAGCCAGACAAAACCAGTATTATCTCCATTTTACCAGCAAAAAACCTAAAGCCACTTGAATGCTAGAGGCAGAGCCCACCCCTTCCTGGGCATTGCTGACCCTCCTCTGTAGACCTCCCCCATTTTTGCCCATCTGTTGTGTTTACCTCTGAGGGATTGGCCAGGGACGGAAAACACACTCCACCCCCCAGGCTGTTCTCAGGAGTCGTGACTGTGACTGGGTCGGGAAAGGCTTAGCTGGAAGGGACGGCCCCTCTGCTGAGCCTGTGTCTCTGGAGCCCTTGGCCAGGGTGGGGGTGGAGGCGCTGCTGGAAGAGGGCGATCAACATCTGGGGTGCCTCGGCCAGGGCCCCACCTCAGGGATCCTGCGGACGGGGGCCCTCTCTGAGAGCTCGTTGGGCCCTTGAAGCCACCAAACAGAAAGTAAGGAAACACTCTTCAGAGTGAGATGAGCTAGTGTTTCAGCTGCTTAAAGCTAATATGCAAAACCGGAGCCTAGTGTGGTGCTGGAAATAATGATTCTTCTGGAACTTTTCAAGTTCCCTGGAGTCTGATTTGCAATTGTGCAGCATAGGAGCCTGCTGGCTTTGTTGCTGAAAAGCAATAATGTGTCGTTTCCTGTAAGGCTTGTAGAGAGCCTTTTACGTCCCCACCCCACAATCTCTCCCTTCGAAGACGGTGCCAGAATGTTCCAGAGGGTCATGTCACCTTCAGCTTGTCTTATGGAAACTGAAGCCACTGGGGTTTTCTGCCCAATTTTGAAAGGGGTTATTTAACACATATATAGGCATGTATATCTGTAATTTATATGTGTATGCATGTAAGTGTGTGTTGTACACATATGCACTTATGCATATGTGCATATGTACATATACATATTTTATATGTATATATATATTGTGTGTGTATATATAAACTTTGATAAGGTAATTGATGTATATAGTAAAAAAAAAATCAAACAGTACAAAAGGGCATACAGTAAAAACCAGGCATGTACCCCATCCTCTCTGGATGCACATGCTGTTAATAATTTCTTGTGTTTTCTTCCAGAGGTAGCCTATGACTGGGGCAGCAGAGAGGGTGGATGGGGGTGGGCAAGTGTATATCCCCAACCCCTTTTAAACCACTGCTGAATTGGACTTTATTGAGCAGACATAGGGATTCTATGGCCAGTCCCTTACTCATGGCTATTTAAGCTGTTGCCTATGTTTTGCTTTGACAAACAGAGCTGCAGTGAATAGATACAGATTTCATGCATCAGCAAATACCAAATGCATAGTGAACGTGTGTGGGCTCTTCATGGAGTTTACATCTGACTACAGGGACCTCTTAGCAGTGGCCAGGTCAAAGAACATGTCCATTTAAATGGTTAACATCCCTCCTCCTCCTCCTCTCAGCTGCAGTTAAGTTGGAAAGCCTGTTTCCTCCTCTAATGCCAACTCAGTTATTACCAAGTGTTCTGGTCTGTCCGATCTGATATGTTAAAAATGGCACAAGAGATCCTTTTGAACATCACTCTGTTTGTCCTCCCCCTCCCTTAGGAGTTCTGGTTCATGGGGTAGGGATTAAACATTAGACTTGTTTCTCTTCCACAGTCAGACTAAAGTTCAAGAAATATTTGAGTCCCTCTTCTGTGAAGCTCGTCCTGGTGGCAGGGGGCAGTGCTGGCGCTGAGATTTTGGCACAAGGTACCTTGGCAAGAACAATTGGCTAAAAGAACTATTTAGCTGTTGCTGATTTTTTTTTTTCACTTGGATCTAGTCAAAGAAAGATGAGGGTATCATAAGAGATTGAGAGAAGTCAGATGTTAAATCTGTTTTGGAAACTGCGTTGAGGGTCTCTCCAGTTGTACACAGTTTCTCACTAATGGTGCCAGATGGAAGGTGTCGTCATACTGAGGTCAGGCCGCTTCCCACCTGTCATCTAGTGTTTTGTCCTTCTCTTCTATTTTGGCAGTTAGACATTTGGAGAGGGTTTTTTTTTTGTTTTTGTTTTCACAAAAATATAGGAAAAATTACCTGGGCATAGTAGCATTGCTTTTTTTTTTTTTTTTTTTTTAAAGACAGGGTCTTACTCTGTCCCTTAGGCTAGAGTGCAATGGAATGATTGTAGCTCACTGTAACCTTGAACTCCTGGACTCAAGTGACCCTCCCACCTCAGCCTCCCAAGTAGCTAGTAGCTAGGACTATAGGCATATGCCACCATGCCTGGCTAATTTTTTTTTTTTTTTTTGTAGAGACAGGGTCTTGTTATGTTGCCCAGGCTGGTCTCAAACTCCTGGCCTCAATTGATCCTCTCACCTCACCCTCCCAAAGTGCTGGGATTACAGGCGTGAGCCACCTCACCCAGCCTGCATTTTTTATTTTAAATATGAATACTACTTCATAAAAAGTATAACATGTACACATGAAAAGAAAGAAGATATAAAGAATAATAAAACTAACACTCAGCTCAAGTAGAACATTGTCCCCCAGAGGCCCCACCCTAGTCACTGTGCTATTTTTATTTTTATTCATTTATTTATCTTGAGACAGAGTCTCACTCTGTCACCCTAGGTAGAGTTCAGTGACATCATCGTAGCTCACAGCAACCTCAAAGTCCTGGGCTCAAGCCATCCTCCCACCTCAGCCTCCTGAGTAGCTGGGACTACAGGTGTGGATGACGACACCCACTAATTTTTCTATTTTTCGTAGAGATGGAGTCTCGCTCTTGCTCAGGCTGGTCTTGAACTCCTGAGCTCAAACAATCCTCCTGGCCGGGCATGGTGGCTCACGCCTGCAATCCTAGCACTCTGGGAGGCTGAGGCAGGTGGATCGCTCAAGGTCAGGAGTTCAAGACCAGCCTGAGCAAGAGCGAGACCCCGTCTCTACTAAAAATAGAAAGAAATTATCTGGACAACTAAAAAAATATATATATATAGAAAAAATTAGCCGGGCATGGTGGTGCATGCCTGTAGTCCCAGCTACTTGGGAGGCTGGGGCAGGAGGATCGCTTGAGCTTAGCAGTTGGAGGTTGCTGTGAGCTAGGCTGACGCCAGGGCAACAGAGCCAGACTCTGTCTCAAAAAAAAAAAAAAAAAACAATCCTCCTGCCTCAGCCTCCCAAAGTGGTAGGATTACAGGCATAAGCCACCACACCCAGCCAACTGTGCTATTTTTAAAATAGACTCGTCAACATTTGTTTTCTTCACTGAGCACCTTTTGCTCCAACTGTCTTGGGCTGAGTGCTCAGATTCCAGGGGCTTGACAAAGTTCTACAGAAGCCAAATTTTCTACTGGCGACCCTGCCAGCAAGACGGCCTGCAGTCCCGGGAGGGGGATGATGGCCTCAAGGCCATGAGCAAGTCACTAGCCAAGGGACCAGCCAGCACACAGAAGCTTTGTCTCAGATTCCTTCTGTATTTGTTTCCTGTGGCTGCCATAACAAATTATCACAAACCTGGTGGTTTAAAAAACAAAAAATTTATTATTAGTGTGGAGGCCTGAAGTCTCAAATCAAGGTGTCAGTAGGTTGGTTCCTTCTGAGGCTCTTGGGGAGGATCCGTCCCAGGCCTCTCTCCTGGCTTCTGGTGGTTGCTGGAGATCTTTGGTGTTCCTTGGCTTGTGGCCCCATCACTCCAATCTCTGCCTTCGTATTTGCATGGCCTCCTTTCTGTTGCATGTCTCTATGTCCTCTCCTTTAGAGACAGGGCCTTGCAGTGTTGCCCAGGCTGGAGTGCAGTGGCACAGATGCAGTCATAGCACACTACAGCCTTGAACACCTGTGCTCAAGTGATCCTCCCACCCGGCCTCTCCTCTGTAGCTGGTACTACAGGCGTGCACCACTACACTTAGCTCTCCTCTTATAAGGATACTAGTCACTGGATTTAGGGCCCACCCTAAATCTCAGGATGAGTTCACCCCAAGATCCTCAACTAATTACAGCGGCAAAGACCCCATTTCCAAATAAGGCCACATTCTGAGGTTCCAGGTAGACATGAATTCGGGATGACACCATTCAGGCCCTACACTTGCTGGTCTAGCATTTCCGTCATAACTTTATTCAGGGACGCACTTGTCTTCCAGGTGCCTCTACTGTTTCAGGAAGAAGAGGCCACTAGAGTGGGAGCACATTACTCAGCCCCTCCAG